ATGTGCAAGAGTGAGGCTGATAATTTTGCTGTCAAGCTAAGTTAGCTAAAGAATAAGGGAGGCTTTGATTTAGCTCATGATTTATAGTTACTGAGTATATTATCTATTTTTCTTACTTGAATTGGATAATAATTAAAAGCACAGAAAGGAATATATTAATTATGGAAAAGCAGTAAATCATAGATGCATGATTAAAATTATTTGTTTAATTTTAAATCATCCCACATTCCAAGAGGAGTTCTTTAAGGGCTACAGCTGATGTCATAAAGCACCTCACCAACCATAGCTGCCTGCGTTTCCTAATTCCAATCATTAAGGTATACATCAGCAAAATAGTTCCAATAATTACATACAGTGCAGAACTATGGGGATATATAAATGCTCCCTTACTGGAACAGATACAGTCCACTTTTCTGAAATGTCTTCTTGGGGTGGACAAATCCGTGCCAACTCCAGCAGTAAGGGCAGAGTTGAGTATATCCCCTATATAAAGTCACCTAGCTGTTAAAGTATTCAACGGCTGAAAATCTTACTTACGGATCCAGATACATTACCCAAGCTGTGTTTCAAAGAGCAGATACTTAAATATGCCTCCTTGCACTTGGGCTGCCCACCTCACAATATGGATTCTCTGTCCAATTCCCAGTTCAATCACATCTGAAGGCCAAGAAAAGTTTCAGACAAAGAATCTTGGCTATTGCTGCCCAAGATGATATCACATTCCTTAAACATGCTAATTCCTTCAAGTGGCTGGCTCAACACAAATCAGCCTTCCAGATAGAAAAATATTTAACAATTTATATAGCCCAACATCTTAGAACAGCTTTCTCTACAGCATGTTTTGAACAACTAGATTCCTTGATAAGATATGGGAGGTTCCATGGAATTCCATCCAAAAAAAGACTGTATATGTGGTGCACCAGCTCTTGAAAACATATCCTGTTTGATTGCAAACTATATTCTGTGGAAAGGATCGTATATTTAGATGCTTACTTAAAAACTAAAATCTATTTGGACACCCACGAGAAACTTGTCTCACTTCTTGCAGGGAATGAACCTACATATCACTAGCAAGACTGCAATTTATATATCAAAAGTCATTTTGAAGAGGACAGACTACCTAGAATAGATTGGGGTTGACTGCAAGGATGATAATTTATTATGAATACGTCCTACTGTTTTCTCTGTATTGGTTTTATAGCTTTTTGGTCAGGCAACTAATCAATAAAATTTATTGTTGTTGTTGTACCACAATAACGATGGACAACGTTGCCCAAAGACAGTTGCCTGTTGTGATTACCATCTTCTGTTCCTAATAGGTTGTTTTAATCTTTAAAAATTAAAAATAAACTGATTAGAACTGGAAATTCTACTTCCACCCATAGCTGCAGCACACTTTGAGTTTAAGGAATTGCAGACAGGTACAATATTTGAGTCCCTGCACACTATGAAGCACGTTTTTCCTCAGAATTGAAATGCTGCACCAGCCCTACTATAGCTCTTACTGAATTATAACTGTTGGCTAATTCCCAGGTAAGTGAGTATAGGATTACTGCTTTAACTGCACAACTCACATCATAGCAAGCACATCAGTTTGAATCTGTTTGTTGACACCAGGGGTGGGTGGGGGTGTATTATTATTATTATTATTTTGTATTCAGGTTTTATTCTGTAAGCCACCCAGAGTCACTGTGTGTGAGTTGGGTGGCCATATAAATTTGTTTAATAAATAAATAAAAATTAATAAATAGTGTTTGTTATTTTGATAAAACATCTTTGTCCATATTACTAAATTTTAAAATGAATAGAGATGAACAATCCATTCTTCCTGTTTAGAGGAAATTTAAGATGACAAATAAGATGTAATAAATAAATACATGATAAATCTAGATCTTCCTGATTACAATCTAACACACTTCACTGAATCATTACAACACCTAGATTTTATACTGAATGAAAAGTAAATAATGTCTGATACTATTTGAGTTCATTTTTCAGCTATTAAGTAGTTCAGATATCTATTGTAGGAGGAAATATTTCCTTTTTTCTTTCCTAAATCTCCCATCACTCATTTACTGGGTGCTATCTTATAATATTATTTGAAAGAAGAAAATCTCTGTATACAATCTCTCCATACCAAGTATACCTCTATACACCTCTACCATAAACCTTCTTACTATCACTTTTCTAACTTCCAAGAAGAGATGCTGTGTCCCTTTTATCATTTTTGTCCTATTTTGCACTTTTTCAGCTCTACATTATTTTCTTTAGCTGTAGTGGCTAGGAATACACACTTCTTTACAAATATAGTTGCACCATACATTTGTATAAAGTCGTTATAGTTCTTGCAATTTAATTTTCAATTCCTTTCATGATGATAATCAGCACAGAATGTGCCACTGTGATGAAACCACAAACTTAGAGGCAGTATCTAATACTGGATAATGTTCTTCATGATTCAGATAGACTCCTTCCTTTTATATCAGAAATAAAGGGACATAAATAGTCTGCAAGTGAACTATTTTTGAAGGATGGGGGTGCTAATATTGCTGGGTCCCTTGTTCATGTTAGACTAGAATCAAGTTGATTATCTGGCTAGAGCTTAGGATGCTGAATTGACTGGGAGTTAGGCTGACAAGTTATGCTTTCTTGCAAGATGAAAACAAGAGTTCTGCAAAGATGCAAAATGGGGAGACATTACAAAAACTCAGCATGCAAGCTGGTTTCTGAATAGTTCCTATGCCAACATTATTGCATACAGCATACACACTGAGTACCAGTTGGAGGGAGGGGGCTTCATATGTATGTCTGTTCACAAGAACACCACCATGTGACTAATAATCTAGCATTACACCCATATCATATGCATTCTCTCAGTGAGAGGTATGAAAGGTCTGAGCCCAAATTCCTTTACTTTTCCAATGTTGTCAAGTCTTTCTTTTTGAAAAAAGCCTACAACTTGGTGATTTCCTTCTTGCTGTTTGTGTTTTGGGGGTTTATTTTATTGCTGATTTAATTGGTGCTGGTTGCCTAGGGTAGTGTTATTGTATAATTTTTTGTTATGCACAACTTCGTTAAATAAATGGTATCTAAATGCTTGAAAATTAATTTTTATATTTCAGAATTCTCATCACAGAGGGTGATTACACCTGTGATTTTAGTTATTATTTAAAAATAACGTCTTAATGTGCTACACTTACGATTTGCTTTCCAATATAGATTTTTTCAGAGAGACAAAAAGTACGTAAAACTATATACACATATACACAATCATTACAATCAACAATTAAAGACACATCATTGTACTCTTGTGGTTAATACAATCCAACAGACAACAGCAATTGTATAGAGCTAGAACACTAATATAAACACAAATTGTTTTTCAATTATAAGTATTAGACTGATTAAAGTATTAGAAATATTATTATAATTAAACCTGAAATACTTTAAATTGTGGTAGTGATTCTGATTTTACCTTTTTCTCAAAAGTTAATATAAACCATGTTTTGGTCCAAAAGAGAAAATAATTAAGTTAATTAATTAACCACATGCAAGACAGATTTGGAAAATGAATCATCACAGCGTCCTATGCCAAAGCTGCTTTGCAATGATGCTAAATATATATAGGTTTTGATGATGGTTACCAAAAGCCCAAACTTAACAAATACATAGAAGTGTGCATCATTCTGAAGTAAACAACATATCAGCTCAGTTCCTTGTGAACAGTGAACTGTCTCAAATCCATGTTATAGAGGTTGGATCAATCTTGCAAACACAACTCAGTATTGAAAAGAGGCCTTGAACTGAAGCAGCCTGGAAAATATATTAGATGTCCATCCTAGCAGAGAGTATTCCCAACAAATGCTATAATATAATCTGGCAAGAAGTTTAGTGTAATTCATGGAAACTAGCCTTGTAGATACAAAATCCATTAAACAGAGAAATAATCAAAAAGCAACAGGACAAACAGTACTTGTTAACAAAACATTTTCTTGTGTTTGTTATTTAATAGCTTTCTGGGGGTGGCAGTGGCAGGGGATGAAAGGTGACATATCTTCATACTTACTATGCAGTGGAGACCAGTCTTTTTCCTAATCTCCATTTTTTCATTTTGAAAAGAAATAATATGAAAAACGTTCTTATTGCATTTGAAAAACCTCTTCTATCTTACATATATTCAGATTTTTCAGAATATATCAGGATGGGACAAATTAATTCTAAAGCCTCTGTCTCAAATCTCAATATTATAAATTAAATTCAGGTCCCCATACCATAAACCAGTATTACCAAGGACTGTGAGAGCTGTAGTCTAAGACAAACCCTGTCTGATACCTAAGGGTACAGGGTACCTATACCTTATACCTAAATACCTAAGACAAACTCTATGCTTTTCCATCTTGTATCTTGCACTCCTTTACAAGTGTGATAGTGCATCAGGACCTGCCTGGGCTGGTGTTGCAACTGAATTTGGCTTTTAACATTTCTTTAGATCCTTCTATGCAAAGTTTGTAATAATTCCGTTTTATGCTTTTTGTTGCACAATATTATCATTCTAAGCTCCTACAACTGTTGCAGACCGGTTAATAATTGCTCCATGATTTTCTTCCTCTGTCAGGAACTGGATACAGAATCCGAATACAAGAGGAGATACTTTGTCACAGAGCAGTGGCCTCTGAGTTGGTTCAGATCAAGTGTTTTTGAGGTTTAGCATAATTTAGCCCAAGTCTGCCCAAAGTTTACCTTTGGCAACCATTTCTAAACCTTTATAGTATAAGTAGACTGAAATCTCTCTCTCTCTCCCTCTTCCTTTCTCTCTCTCATCTATCTACCTATCCACCTACTGTATCTTTTTTGACAGTTATACCAGTTCATATGAAATTCAATTTAAACGTACTGAAAAGATTTGTTTACACTTTATACTAAGTCCCTATCTTTCGTCAACATCCATTTGCCCAATTATGACACAATTATGACACATGCAAAATCTGTAATGGTTGTACCTTAAAATCGAAGTTTGAGAGTTTTTCAAGTCTTTTGTTTACATCCGGAGAATTTGCTTTTTTTGTGAATTGAATGAAACAGAGTTTGCTTTGTTCCCAAAATGAAAATATCATGAAACTGTCAGTAAGCACAGCTGGAAGAAAAAACAACATTGTTATACCTATCACTGACAACAAAATAAATTACTGAATTCTCCACTGGGATACTGGAAGATAAAAAAAACATTTTCATTTGTGTCTTGTTGAAAATGGTAAGTAAAGCTTAGGAAGCACTCAGATGTAATAAAACCAAACAAATTTTATGATAGAAATATTTTACAGATACAGTATTTTACAATATGTCCTCTGTTGTTTCTTTTCTTTTAAAGTTCTTTTAGAGAATAATCCCTTCTATAGTGGTTGTCACTGGGTGAGTGAAATATGCTGGAATGAAGCATAAATGTTAAAAAAAAACCCAGTATCAAATGAGAGTGTAGCTACTACTATAGCTTAACTGATTTCTTAGAGCTGTTGAGCCATAAGAAAGACAAATGGGTGGTAGGTGTTTGCTTGGTGCAAGCAATTTTCTCTTCATTCTTAAATTAAAGCATAGATGAAAATGAATTATACCAATTGGTCTGCAGGCACCTGAAGTTTAGAAAACTATCAATACACTCTTTTTGGCTGGGGGATGGGATGGCAATCACACTGTAATGAGCATCAGCTACCCCTGCTTTATGGCTTACAAAAGAATACAATAAAGACATCCACTGTAAGAAAAAAAAAACTATGATAAAAGAAGTGAAAATAATTAAAAATTTACTTCACAGACCTCATAAAACCAGAGCCCAAAATAACAACCCCTCCCCGAAACAACAGGAACATTTAAAAATAAAGGCTCTTTGTGTTAGTCTTTTAGTAACTTTTAGCTATCTTTTCACACAATTAGCTAGCAGCGCTCTTTTGTACTATGCTAAACTGCCTGAAGGAGAAGGAGTAAAGACTAATAACAGATTCCAGACAGATAAGCTTTTGAAATGCCTCAAAACAAGTGAAAAGTGAATATCTTCTTCTGACTGCATCCCAGTAAGTGTAGAATAAAGCAGTAAATGTGAGCAACTCATCCCAAAAGAAACTCAAGTGTGGAATAATCACAGTAAGAACTCTTTGTCTGTCCAAAATAAATGGCTTAATAGTTTAGGAAGAGATGATTCCCTTAAAAGTCTAGCATCTGAACATGCTCAGACTGAAGTGGCAAACTAATGCTTTCTTACTGCAGAGACAATGTCCTTGATCTTTCAAAACTTATCAGCCCTACAAGGTAGACCAGATCAAGAAATAGATTCCACAGGACTATAACTATAGTAAGAGAGGCTACAGTAACAGAATCTTGCAGGGGTGCTTGTGTTTTACCTTCCTCTCTCTTATACCTCACTGAGTCAGGGAGAAGCCAGCCTGAGCCTCTTCCTAACACGATCTCCTTTCCCAGGACTTAAGGAATGCTTCTGCCCCTGTTGTTTCTGAAACCATTCCTGAAGGGAACTTCAAGGCCATCCCCATGGCTCTGTACACCAATTCAACATGTTTATCAGCTCTTACACTGCTCCTTTGGCTGTCAGATTGCTGAGGGGGCTTAACCATTAGTTGGGGAGAGCTCTAATCTGCTGACTTTCAAAAAGTCATCACTCAACTTACAATTAATCTTGAAGTCCTTTACAATGTATCATTCATTTGACGCTCCTTTGTGTTCTTCAAGCATTTTAAATACTCTCTATCATGGTCTCGTGGTCAAGGTAGTCTCATACAGCAACTATTTTTTTTCCCTTGAGCCAGCTGCTTTGTATGCAGATATTAGTGACTGATACAGAAGTGATAGAAAATGGCTCCTCAGATTTTTTTGATGGCTGCAGAATTCTAATTAAATTCCAAACTCCAGGTATCCCACTAATGTTACTTCCACATCTAACCAAGTTGTGTGTGTGAGAGACTTACCTCTCAAACCCCTGTTGCCTATAGAAAGCACAAGGGTAATGCCATCCTAATTAACCAAGAAGTAAAATTATGTCTAATTTCAAGCTGTTAGATAAGACAGCCTTGAGAAGAGATAGCAAACTAACTCTGTCATCCCTAGACACTCTTTTCAGAGGAAATTTTAGTTATCAACTCTCACCTACCGGCTAAAAGACCAAACTGTTACTGGCCAGAAGTTAATTGATTTAAAACAAGCCTTGTCACTATGTATACTATGTGTATTATTGTACACTATGATGTAGTCTCAATTCTGTTTCAATGTCCATTTCCCGAGCTTGTAACCCTGAGAAAGCAATCCAACAATCCTATCTTGCAAACATCAGAACATCTGTAGTTCACTGAAGATCATTTCATCTTGATTCCTCTCTCTTTAGCCCCACACTCCAACTACTATCAAAGTAGTTGACATCAGAGTGAGATGAAACGTGAGGATCCCACTTTAAAGCAGTCCCTAAAGGAGTGCAAAAGCAATGAAAGCACTACAGATGTTTACAGTGTTGATCCTCCAGCAAACTGAGTTATACACCAGCCCTCTAAGGATATGTTCACTCATTAGGGAGCCTGCTCTAAAGCCCTAATCTGAGCTTTAGGATCCATGAGGTGAATCCAATCCCAAGAGATTTAGCTTCATCTGCTTCTATCACAATGATGCATTTTGAGACAATCTTGAAGGTAACTCCTACTGAATGACTTTTAGGTACTCTAGAAGATTTGTGGTTCAGTTCATGGAATATAACAGGCTGATCTTCCAAGAAGACCTCTCCTTTTATTGCTTGTTAGGGAATTTTGACATTTTTTTGCTAATTGTTTCTAACTGTTCCCTTGACTGGCCTTCTGTCATTACATCACAGATACTCATTGTTCAATTGGAAAATGGTAACTTTGCTGGGCTGGAGGGCAGACTCTTGTGGAATTCCTGACTGGTGGTCTCTAGTGCTGGCCTGCCTGTTTGTTCCTATTGATAATTCTTTACACATACCTCAAGAGTGGGATTAATCATAACAACTTTACTTTAAAAAAAAAAAAAAGTAAGTCCAGCAGAGCTAACTTTGACCAGTCAGCTTATTAAGCATTATAAATGAATTATATGAGCTTAATGAGAAACTTTTTTAAAAAATTATTTTTATTGCTTTTAAAATAACAGGAAAAGAAACAAAGCACAAAAATAATTATAATGCAAATACATAAATTTTCAGAGAAAAAACCCTATGCATAAAAAGTGCTTTAAAAAGTGAAAAAAATACAACAGAAAAAAGAAAAAAAGTATAATATATCCTTATAACAATTAACAGTTCTATATATACTTATCTAATGTAAATAATATTCAAGTACATATATATTAATTTCTAAAACGTTTATATAACCCTATCATTCTTTTTTAAACCTGCAGTATTTTGTATAAATGAGTTCCATATTTCATTATACTTGTCCATTCAAAGTCTACGCCTATAGGTAATCCGCTCATAGGTGGCAAGTGTAATCAGGTCTTCAATCCATTGAGTGAATGGGGCCATATATTTATCTTTCTAATGTTGCAAAGTCTTTTAGCTATAATAAGGCCACGGAGAATCCATTTACGTTGTCCAGTTGTCAAATTCCATGTATTAGGTATGTAGTTCAAGAGAATATTATCCTCTAAAAATTTTAGCTTTTGTTGCACAGTCATATTTATATAGTCTACTACTTTCTCTCCAAACTTAGTAAATTGTAAAAATATGTGTTTTAAAGAAGCATTATCCTTATTACATCTCCAACAAAATGCTGTTTTTGACAATCCTT